TTGTGTCATAGCTTTTATCAAATTGAAAACTGAACTCAGTATTTCGAATTTTAGTTAAGTCTACATGTAAAATATTATGCACTAATATTATGCACAAATATTATGCACTAATATTATGCACAAATAGTATGCACTAATATTATGCACAAATATTATGCACTAATATTATGCACAAATATTATGCACTAATATTATGCCCTAATATATTCGGTAGCAGGAACTCAGTTATCCTTTCCTCCTCTCCTTTTCACCGTTACTAAAAAAAACTGACAGAGAAGGAGATTAGAAAATATGGTGAAACGATACTTAGCTAAACCATTCTCCCATAATTTCTATCCAAGTTAATGAGAGAAATAATAAAAAATGTTATATACTCTTAACGGGCAATTGTGAAACATTCTCGTGTGTCACGGTTTCTCACATTTATATAAAAACCGAAGAATTGACTTTCCAACCATATACTATATCTACTAGCCTTCGTACGCAAAAGAAAAAAAAACTTCACCTGATTTAAAAACTGAAAGAGGTAAAGGTGTAATAAAACCAAAGTATCAAGTCTGTCTTTCTTTTGCCTCCATGGCTTCACCTTTTTCGTTTTTCCCTGTTTTTAATGGCATATATGTCATAAAACAAATCCATGAAATTACATATTACTCCAATAGAAAATTGTCTACGCTGTATATTGACCTCACAGCAATATATGACAACACCAATTGAAGCATTCTCTTTTCATCCATTAGAAACCGCATTCGAATCTCTGAATCCACTGAATGCATTAATCTAATAGAGGAACTTTATTGGCACACAAAATTTTAAAAGTATGTAGAGGACACCGATACGGGAATTTCAGCCTGAGTACAAGGAGGAAATGAGAGCCCGAGTTTATTTAATCTTTTCTTCAATTATATCCAGTGCATTTACAAGCACAGATATGAAGAGATGGGCAATGATCATTTAAGCAAACCATCTACATAAGAAATGAATCTCCCAAGAGAAAACAATAATCCTGCTTTGCCTACTGATACCAATGCACCAATGATGATGGTGGGGGCCATGCCGATGGCACACGTATTCATAGTTGCAATAAGATCGATTGTGAAAAGAAAAATAACATCCTCTACCAAGGCATAAAAGAAATAGGACTCAAGAATCTCTCTCTCTCTCTCTCTCTCTCTCTCTCTCTCTCTCTATATATATATATATATATATATATATATATATATATATAGCATGAACTTCGTACAATATGTGGTAACAATATTCTAAGCATGGACGAATGGTATACTTAGAGATATGTTATCAAACATATTTCATAGATGCTATCTAGCAGCAGTATACACCACCATCAGTAGAGACTGCCGCTTCTCATTCATTAGAAAACGCCTTCCATGCTACGTTTCCAATGAATACATTGATTTAATAGAGGATGTTTATCGGCCCAAAATTTACATGTCTGGCGACCAGCCCAATATGAAAACATTTTAAACCTCATCAAAAGCATGACAAGGAGAAAATAACAGCTCAAGTCTGTTTAATGTCTTCCTCAACTATCCGCAGTGCATTTACAAGCACAGATATGAAGAGATGGCCACTGATCATTTAAGTATTCTATACCACATTCCAAACGAATCTACCAATAGAAGACAACTATCCTGCTTTCCCACCTGAGAACCAATGTACTAGTGAGGGGGGGGGGCTATGAGGATAATATAGGTATTCATAGTTGGGATAATAATGATCTTGAAGAGAAAATCAATATCTTCTAACAAGTTTCCCAACAAATAGGACTCAAGATAAATCTTTCCAAAACAGTAACTATGAACTGGAATTGAGACGCAAGCAATGAAGTCACCTAAACTGAATCCATCATAAGAAAAATCAAGATGAGGAATTATTAATACTAAACACTTCAAATAATTTAGTGTTATAACAAATTTAGTAAAGGAGATAAGGAAATTGAACATAGAATAGTTTACGCTAGAGCTAATTTCACCCAACACCGCAAATTGCTTCAAAACCAAAACACGAGTCATATTCTTAACTAATTACGTCAGATAGAGACTCTCATATGTCACGTATGACGCCAAATTCGTTCAGAGATATCCAAACAGTAAGCTGTGTACAATCGCTTTCACATATCAATATTTAAAATGGCTTTGAGCAACGGAAGTTTGTGGATCTTGGCGAAGACCACACTTCGTCGAACATTGTGAAATGGCGCTACCGGAATACCAAAAAAAAAAGAGAAAACGGCACCAAATAACAAAAACGACATCACTCAAAGACTTTCAACAGCAACAGCAAATAAAATGGATATTGCATGGACTTTGAATAGAAAATAATAAAATAATCAAGATGTTGACGTTCCACACTACTTCAAACAAAAGGTTAGGAAGGAAACCCCCATCAATACTGCAAAGACTGATAACATCTATTGGGCTTGAGGAACCTAGTTTCCTGAAAAAAAATTTAAAAATAATGCTTTTATAGATTTTCACCAAAATCAGTAGTGGCTGTCCTGTCAATGAATACCGAATGTTTCCTTATATGGAAGCGGTTAATATTATCATTATCATCCTGCCTTACCACATCCTGTACGTCTTTCCTTTTCCCAGTTTTATATTTAGCAATTTTTAATTACATATATACTGGGTTCACATATCCTGTAGCGAACTTAAGCAGAAACGCTGGGAAACAGCAGTTTGATCTTAGGTCAACCACACAGATACTAGGCATAATTACCGATCCATAAGTAAATATTATAATCATTTTTATGGGTAGTATACTAGTTGCATATAAAATAGAAGGACAATATCTTTTATAATTTGAAGCCAGATTATCTTCCATATTCCAGTATTCCAAATATCAGATAAATGCTATTTGGTGGGATGCGCCAGGCGTTTTTTATAATGACATTAAATGTACACATGTATACATATACATCTACATATATATCTACATAACAATTAACCAGCTGTCATTGATCGCTGAAGGTTGAGTGGCAATAAGTCTCTTCTCAGTATCTTGGAAGACACCAGCAATGGCGTGATTTTTACAGCATTGACATCGCTTCGAATATCTGATTCATGTAATCTCGATCCTAGTGTTGTTGTTTTTTTTGGAGGAGGACTTCTAATATTAACACGATCTTAACATTATATATTCTACAGCGTTTTCGGCTCCTAGTATTTTTTTTGAAATTATCACCCTTCCTCGCATTCAATCTGACACTTTTCTTATTCAAGTCGATCAGATCCGCCATTCTTGTTTGGACAAGCTGATCGATTTGAATACTAACATTTTTATTTCTTTGACATTACTATTATTATTATTAGTAGTAGTAGTAGGAGGAGGAGGAGTATCCAGAGAAATTCCATATTTAATAAGTATTCTTTTTCGTAATATGAAACATAAATTTATCGATGTTCATATGATTCTTTCATTATATTAAATAGGTTTATGATAATGAGCTCAACAACGAATGGAGAACGAATTCGAAAAGTAAATATACAATAAAAATTAAACATAGCTCAGCAAATGTAAATTTTACCCAAAAATATTTGAATATCACTTAATAAAATATGAAAATAAATTTTATTTTTAAACTTCTATTAATACGTAATCGTGTTCAATGTTTTTAAATATAATCTTGCTTACAATTTATAGAAATTGTTTTTCTAATAAAAGGAAGAAATCTTGCTGATGTGAAGTGAAAAATGAAATCAAAATTTTGTATGTAATAAGCATAACAAGAAAATAAAAAGAAAGCGAGAGAGAATGAAAGATAAAAGTTACATATATATATATGTGTGTGTGTGTGTGTGTGTGCGCGCATATATATATATATATATATATATATATATATATATATATACGGGGCGAGAGAAGGGAGAGAGAGAAAAGAGAGGGAGAAAGAAAGATGGCGACAGAGAGAGAAAGATGGCGACAGAGAGAGAAAGATGGCGAGAAAGAGAGAGAAAAATGCGAGAAATAGAGGAAGAGAAAGAACGATGGAGAGAGAAAAAGGAGAAAAGGGGCTAGAGAGAAAGACAAAGAGAGATATTCATGATGGCGTACAGAGAGAAAGATATCGAGAATGATAGAGAGAAAGAGAAAATTATAGAAAGTAAGATAGAGAAAATGATAGCGAGAGAGCGATAGAAAAAAAAAAATATATATATATATATATATATATATATATATTTATAAGAGATAGAGGGAGAAAGACAATTAAAGAGGGAAAAAGAGAAAGTGAGAGAGAAAGAGAAAATAACGAAAAACACAGAGAGAGCGATCGAGACAAAAAGAAAGAAAAAAGAGAGAGAAAGGAAGGAAGATTGAGAGAGACTGAGAATGAGAGAGGGAAAGAATAAGCGAGAGAGAGAGAGGAAGAGAAAGAAAGACATTGAGAGAGGGAGAAAATTACAGTGAAAGAGAAGGAGAGATATTGATGTCGGAGTACAAAGAGAAAGATAGAGAGAATGATAGATAGAAAGAAAATTATAGAAAGCAAGAGAGAGAAAATGTTAGCGAGAGAGGAAAGGGAGAAAAATGATATATATATATATATATATATATATATATATATATATATATATATATATAGTTTATGCAAAACTAGGTAATCCGTATGGGTAGACCCAAGGGGATGATATCCGGATAGCTCAATGTAAATTCAAACAAATATATATATATATATATATATATATATAGTTTATATAAAAATATAATATATATATAGGGGTGATATCCGGATAGCTCAAAATTCAAACAAATATATATATATATATATATAGTTTATGCAAAAATAGATAATCCGGATAGCCTAATGGGATGAAATTCGGAGAGCAAATGAATATATATATATATATATATATATATATATATAGAGAGAGAGAGAGAGAGAGAGAGAGAGAGAGAGAGATATCAAACAAATATATATATAGAGAGAGAGAGAGAGAAAGAGAGAGAAAATAACGATAAGACAAAGAAAGAGAGAGTTAGAGACAGAAAGAGAGAAAATAACGAAAGTGAGAGTAAAAGACAAATAGTTGAAGAGAGTAAAAGTGAGACAGAAAACGAAAATAAGTGAAAGAGAAAGACACAGAAGAATAGAGAGAGAAAGAGAAAGACACAGAAGAATAGAGAAAGAGAAAGACACAGAAGAATAGAGAAAGAGAAAGACACAGAAGAATAGAGAAAGAGAAAGAGACAGAAGAATAGAGAGAGAAAGAGAAAGAGACAGAAGAATAGAGAGAGAAAGAGAAAGACACAGAAGAATAGAGAAAGAGAAAGACACAGAAGAATAGAGAGAGAAAGAGAAAGACACAGAAGAATAGAGAAAGAGAAAGAGACAGAAGAATAGAGAGAGAAAGAGAAAGAGACAGAAGAATAGAGAGAGAAAGAGAAAGACACAGAAGAATAGAGAGAGAAAGAGAAAGACACAGAAGAATAGAGAGAGAAAGAGAAAGAGACAGAAGAATAGAGAGAGAAAGAGAAAGACACAGAAGAATAGAGAGAGGAAGAGAAAGACACAGAAGAATAGAGAGAGAAAGAGAAAGAGACAGAAGAATAGAGAGAGAAAGAGAAAGAGACAGAAGAATAGAGAGAGAAAGAGAAAGACACAGAAGAATAGAGAAAGAGAAAGACACAGAAGAATAGAGAGAGAAAGCGAAAGACACAGAAGAATAACGCGATAGAGAGAGAAAGAGAAAGATAGGTAGCTAGAAAGATAAAGTGAAAGAAAATGTTTAAGAAATAGAAGTTTAGAGAAAGAGAGAAAAAGTGTAAGAGATTGATATAAATGACAATTTGACTTATTTAAATATCGTTTCAACGACTTCCTCTGCCCTCTATGTATGCTTCTATTGATATGTTATTGAAAACATTCCCGGAAAATGTGTGAAACGAAACAAAAACTAAAATTGGATGTACTTCCTGCAAATAGAATAACAGAATAATATGCTCTCTGAAAGGGTAGCATTCCAATACATGATGGAGCTTATTACCAAAATAGAATAGATTCATCTGTTAAGCTTTCATGCCAGGCGTGTCTGGTAAATTACAAGAGAGATCACGTGATAACAACTTTGTTAAATATACCATCATTATCTTTATTATTCTTCATTTTTACTTGTTTAATTTTCCCATCAGTTTTAACTAACAGCATTCAATGGAAGACAAGTGACAGTAAGTTTTCCCAATTCTAGTATAATCCGTATTGTATTTGATAGAACATTGCTACTATATCTGGAAAAGAGCTGCCCAATCCTCTCTTGCCGGACTCGATTAAAGATCATAGGCGACCTTGAAGGTGATGGATTATTTTCCAGCGTACAACCCTTTTTCCACTGAAGAAACGTCGGTCCTCTATCAGAATTTCCATAGAAAATGTTCTGATGAGCTATATTTCCTAGTTCAGATCTTCACAACTAAAACCTGCCATGTGAACTGAGCTAATCATTCTCATACTCTCCATAGTCCTTTATTAAATTCATTCGGTCAGTTTCTTCCGAAGAGACATTGCTTTGAGTAACAGACACCCAAGAGCATGCATTTTTGAAAATATTATCAGCAATACATTTCATTCTCGACAAAAAAGCCTCTTTACAAAAACACCTTAATGAAACCAGATGTGCAAACAGATTTCTTACAAAGAATACATATTCTATTCATACGAACCTATCCTAAAATCTTGTCGGTATTAAATGACCCATCGATGAGTTGATATGCTATAAAACAAAATAAACCTAAACGTAAACCTAAACGAATATGTATTGCTGATATTTTTACTATAAAAATACATTTTCATACTTTCATAGCGTTTTGACCCCAGTTTGGGAGTTAACTATTTACCCATAGTTAGGACCCACACAGGTGCTACCACCCCGGATCAGGGTGGACTTGAAAACAACAACAATTAAGAGGTGGTTCCACGCTTCTCAAAACCTCCCAATCAGAGGCCTTGCTGACGGGTGTATCTTAATGTCATCCCCAGGACGAAGGTGTAGATTTTAAGAAACAGCAGCAAAATTATTATTTTATTATTATTATTATTATTATTATTTTCTTTGATTTCTGGCGTTTACACATTTCTTTCCGGGTCTCGCCCAGGGACCTAAGGTTAGAAATGGCATCAAGACACTTTCCACTGACAAAAAAAAAAAAAAAAATTACATAGATAAAGCCCTTCGTAAAGTGTGGGCTGTTCTTGTGAGAACAATTTTTTGTATCTCTTTGTGGCATGGATTTCCAGGAATCCCTTCAATTAGTCTGCTGCAATCTTTTCCAAACAGTCCTAGGGCTCCAACTACAACAGGGATTGTTGATGTTCCCATATGCCACATTTTCGAGATTTCTATTTCAAGGTCCTTGTATTTTGACAACTTTTTGAATATCTTCAAAGATACATTGCAGTCAGCAGGGACTGCCATGTCAATAAGGAGGCACCGTTTTTGTTTGTGGTCTTTAATAACAATATCTGGCCGGTTGGCCTTGATTGTTCTGTCAGTGTGTATTGTGTAGTCCCACAGAATTGTAACAGGTCCTATCTCCGTAACCGGGTCTGGGTGGTGTTCATACCAGTTTCTTTTAGTGTCCTTATTATTATTATTATTATTATTATTATAAAATATAGTCGATTTTTTAAACAATACAGTAATTGGATATGAATAATTATGATTTGGTGAATGTCAAAGGTCAGGTCACAAGGTTAAAGACAGTGATGAAATATCGAAACCAAACTTAAAATAACTAAGGAAATTCGTCAAATCCCTTTTTTATTAAAAAGCGAAGAATTTGATTAGTTAAACGACATTCATCTCTTACTTGTTTTGGAGTAGGTTGTCCGGCCCATTTCAAGGCTAAAGACAAAGAAAGACTTAACTTTGGATGTTACGTCAACATAGATCAGCGACCATAAGTTACCATCCACTGGGGGTGGTGAATAGTTTCGTCTCTTAATTCTTTTGGGAAGGTAGTGAAAAAAATCAAAGGAGAAAAATGACCGATTACGAAAAAGATAGCAACTTCCAAATTACCTACATTGCAACAGGCATACACAAAGAAGAAAGAAAACAGTTTGGGCGACGAGACAAAGAAAAAAACATCGTATAAATTTATTTTGTTTAGCCTTGCATTTGAGACAATGAAAAAGTAAAGGAGAGAGAGAGAGAGAGAGAGAGAGGGAGGGAGAGAGAGAGAGAGAGAGAGAGAGTTTTAGAACGAAAACCAAGCTGGGAAGAAATAAAAAGATTCCTTTTATCGCTGAGAATGAATTAGTAGTGAGAAGAAAGAAAGAAAGAAAGAAAGAAAGAAAGAAAGAATATCTCACGGAATAAGAAAAAAAATGAATAAGACGCTTTTTCTTTTTCTGTGCCGTGTCCTTTCAGAACATAGGCGATGATGGCTCTCCGCTTCCTCCCCCTACCCTTTGTAGCTCTCAATATGTTTCCTCTCTCTCTCTCTCTCTCTCTGCCACCTCCGCCAGACCATGTTCTGTCATCCACTTGCTTAAGCCCGCCAGATATGTACGCAATGAATTAAAATGAAAAGTAATAAATAAAATAAAATAAATAAAAGTAAAAAAAACCCCAAAACGGACAAATACGAATGAAAGACGGAAGAAAAACTGATAAAAAGGAAAGAGGGAGGGTGGCAGACTGTGTCCACTTGATCCACAATAACGTCAGGAAGATAAAGAACTGGAACGTGTTCTTATTATCTCCCTTGTCAATCAGAAAACTGTTTTCAAGACAATAAAAAAGTGTGTTTTTTTGTTTTTTAATGAATAAAATGAATTGATGGTTTTACTACATCAGTTTCTGCTTCGTCCTCTTACTACGTATGATCTTATCATTCAAAACGTTGTTTATTTGCCATGACAAGATATCACAACGTTTTGAGTTCCATGATGTTCATCGTCTATAGAGAGCCTAACTTGTCCATAAGATTTTTTTTTCTTACCGATCATTGTCATTTCGATGGGAGCAGTGAGTTCGATTCTCACTGGGTGCTCCGCACTTTCTGCATTGTAACACATCTAATCTACGCTTAGAAAATTATTTTGGACACTTTGATGTAGTGTAATGGTTAACGAGTTTGTTTCGACAGATCAATTACGACTGACTAGTGAGTTCGATCGACACTAGTTGCCCCATGCTTTCAGCCTTTTGCCATATCTAAGCTACGGTTAGAAAAATCACCTTTGTCCTTACGGTGGAAAATCAAATGACCAGAAAAGATGCCTTACCATCGAAGGGTGTCACCATTGCTCAAGAAAAAGAGTCACAAGTAACAACAAATCCTCTGCAAGCCTACATTCTTCACACGCACACATACACACACACACACACACACACACACTCTCTCTCTCTCTCTCTCTCTCGCTCTCTCTCTCTCACTCTTTTTTCTTCTCACTTCCTCTCTTCTCTGTCGTCCCTACTTTAAGATATCCTCTGTAACATCGTCATCACCAAATTACTGACCAGTATTCTATCGGGTGGTGAAAAGCGATAAGTTCAACAAGCATTTTCATCATGCTACATGTTATTGCATCTGCGGTATAACGGCTAACCGGTCTGAATGAGAACTCAGAGAGCCGAGTTCGAATTCCACTCAAGTTCGTCTTCTTCACTTATGCGCAAAAACCACTGGGAAAAGTATGAATCCATTTCCGCCACCCCCAGCTATTGATTGGATAGCAAGACTGACTAGGTCCTATAGCCTTGGATGGCAACCAGCTTACTGCAGAAAGAAACTGCCGAGTCAGTTATGAATCGAAAGAGACATGATTGCTCAAGCGGATATCACGTATATCATTTTAACCTACTTATCGACAATTGTTATTAACGATTTGCGCGTTCCCACCACTGTGGTAACCAACTGTAGTGATTAAGTTATGGTAAAATCTTCTTAATAACCCAGTACTCTCATCTGTACTTTAGCTATTTTCATTTGTGACCTCCTCTTGATAAATCCAACACAACCTTTATTTCTGGTTCATCCATTCTTTTTTCTAGGCTTTTCGGGAATCTTCAATGATTCATAGCTCATTCAAAATATATCCGCTGGTTTTTATGCTAGCTCCTGTAGCGGACGCTTGGTTTGCCTATCATTACAATAGCTAGGGATGAGTAGACGCGATAGATATCAATAAGCTACAAAAGAACTCAAAATTGATCACTACATTTAAGTATTGAATTAACGTTTAAGCTTACCTTATAAAAGTTCAATTTAATTTAAAAGACGATTTGATGTATGTAGATCCTTATTTTCCGTACGAACAATTATTTTTATATCATGGGTGACAATTTATAAGATAAAATTAATATAGTGTAAAGATGGGAAAATAGAAATTAGAATTAGTTATACATTCAACCTTTGAAGAGTTAGAGAAAAATAATAGCTAATTAAGTAAAGCCTATATTATAAAATCTATTACGAATAAATGCGAAATTGGAGTGCAATTCTCCCACGAATTCTGAGATTAAAAAAAGCCCCAGCTTTACTTTATAGTAAGTCACACACCAAAAGCTCAATATCTGTATTTTATATTATCTACTTCTAAGCAATATTAGTCTTCAGATTTAATTAATTTGCTTATTTATTTTTAAAAAAATGTTTATTTCATTAATTAACTGTTCTTCATTATTGTTCTTTTATTCGACGATTGTTTTGAATTTATATAAAAAAAATAATTCTGTTTAGGAATATTGTCTTATATAGTGCAGAAAAGTGTTTGAAATTTGCATATTATTTGGCCTTCAACAAGTTGATATCTATTTGTAAAACTTTCCTTAACTATACAAGCCGATTTATGAATGAAACAACTAACAAGCCGATTTATGAATGAAATGATTATTTAAAATTTTTCTTCCAAAGTTTTCAAGTAGTGAATATATCTTTCAAGGCGATAGCGAGCGGGCGAAGCCTGCTAGTTGATAATACGAGTATATGAAAAGTACCACATAGTTCAATATTTTGAATCTCTTTTAAGCAGGGACTAGCAGGGAGCTTATTAATGCCCCTGTCTATACCTTTTTATCCTATCCAGGGTTCCCATTATTTTACTTACAACAGTAGTTTTAGGGTGCAGCATTAACTGTTCTTTTTTATTACCATCTCCCCAATAAAAGCTTTCTCAGTTTGTTCCGCTCTTAGAATCCGCTTGCGTATTAGTGAATTAATCGCCTTGCTTGGGGAGAAATGATTAAAAACATTTTCAAGATCTTTATATATTTTTAAATAGATATATTTTTATCTGATGGCACTGACATATTTTTGAGAAGCCTTGACAAATTATGACATAAAGATCTATTTGAACTGCTGGGAAAACTCAGGTCTACTTGAAAAGTGTTAGAATATCCCGGAAGTCATACTGGGATAGAAAATGACTTTTCTAGCTAGATAAAGACAGAAAAGGGCCTGAGACAAGGATGTTGCTTCTCCCCAGATTTATTCAGACTTTACAGAGACGGAGACCATACCAGGATTAATTATCAGTGGGCTTAATCTTAATATATGAGGCTCAGATGACACTGTGTCGATGGCAGACTCAGAAAGAAAACTGAATGATTTCCTAAAGAAGATGGTAGAAAAAAACAAGAAAAAAGAATTAACCATCAATTGCAAGAAGACAGAAAGTACAGTCATTAGCAAGAGAACAAGTCCAAATTCTAGGTACGAAATGGAGATATATACTAACCAGGTGCAGAAGTTGGGAAGCGTTATATCGGAGGATAAAAAACGCGACCCCGAGATCCGAACACGCAGTAGATTAGCCAATGAAGTATTCCATGAGGTAAAGAAGATGTTGAGAAACGGAAAAATCTCTTTGAAACAAAGAAAAGAGTGGTGGATTGCTATGTGCTATCCATCCCCTTATATGGTAGTTAATGCTAAACACAGACGAGGAAAAAACTACACGCAACAGAAATGAGGTTATACAGAAGGATACTGAGGATTCCATGCATGGACCTAGTAATCAACAAGGAAGTCTTAAAGAAAATGGCAAGAGAAAGGAGAATTCTACTTAGAATCATTTGCTGAAATTCCCTGGACACATAATGAGGAAGTAACGCTGGGAAAACTCAAGGGACATATTGAGGGCGAGTGAGATAGGGGAAGGCAGCGAACAATTTATCTAACGATCTCGTGTGAATTGATGACGGAAGGGTGGGGCTCAAAAGGAGAAAAAACGGCTAAGAATCACACGAGATAGGAAGTTGTGGTGAGTCATAACGGCCTATGTCCTGAAGGAATGCAGCACATAGCAGAAGTCTTTAATTACAATGGCTGATCTGTTATCTTTTATATGAATGCCAGTATGGGTATTTTTGAGTGCACCCACGTCGCTACCAAGTGTAACACAAGGTCAGTCTAAAGTGGAAAAATATGCCAAAGCACTTCGCTTTTGGGGGACGCCTGATGATTTTCTAAGCATTACTTAGATGCTGCACAAAGTAAAAAGTATGGGGTGCGCAGTTAGGATCGAACTCACTATTCAGTCGTAAGTGTTCTAACGAGAAAAGCTTGGTAATCATTACATCACGCTCAGATGTCCTCTGTCTATAAGTATGAATGAGAAAATCGCATTCCTTCTGGATTTTAATTACAATAATATTAATGCTGTTGATTTTTTTTTTTTTTTCTAATATAATTAATCTTTAAAATATAATTTTTGATAATCATTTCTCTTATGGATGATTTTTCATCATTGGTTGTCTTTTCTTACTTGCGTTATCATTGTTTTACCAATGGTCTTTATTAATAACGGGTTAATCAAGAAAAATAGTTTGTGAAAATCTCACTGCGGATTAATTTGTTAGTTGTGTTACTGCGAAATAGAAAAAAGTTCGTTTTTCTATATCACATTTTTCCTAGGTACTTGTCAAATGACAAATCTCTTTGAAAACTTGACAACATCGCTCTCCTCCTTTGATTCATTCTTTTAAAATATCATGTGAATCACAAAATAAGCCAAGGGAGATAATCGTGCTAAATTATCTCTGCAACTTGTGATAATGCCAATGGCTGATTTTGGAAACATTTGCTGTTTGCATTTTGTTTTTAGGACAATATAAGCGAAATTGTGTATTGTGGGAATCAGAAAAGCAACTATGTTTATTTTTATTTTCATTTTAACATTGTACCTAGCACAGTTGAATGATTCGATTTGCTAAAAATTTTCAAAGTGTATCAAAACAACAACGGCTCGAAATCGGAAGTGACTGTATGTTTTTTAGAGGCAGTAGAAAGCTTCTGTAAAGAATTCTTTCCGTTTCTTGTTTGCACTTAAAATGGCTTATTCTGTAATGAAATTAAAAGCAAATCACGTCACATAACTTTGAATATTCGTAAAGAAGAACACCACTGATATATTATGCCTCTCACGTCATATTATGAGTCCTGTAACCCATAGGATCGTTGAGGTAGCACTTTTACTAAAGCCATAGCAACAGTCGTTTTATGTACCCCAGCCTCCCCCACTGAAACGAGATGTGACACAAGATCTGGTTTAAAGTGAAGCATCTGAGGACGTACATTCGGGACAAGGACAAAAAATGCCCAGCTCTCGTAACCGTCGATTAGGCCGGTATCGATAAACTACTGGTTCCTCATTTCTAGTGTAATTGGGAGGTGCAGTTGCGGGAAGCTGTTCCTCGGAATGGTACGCGCCCTTCTTATAAAGTGTTTATCTTTAAGACAAGAGTGATGAAAAATTCTCCTAGTGATGATTAAACTCGCTACTCACGAGAATGATCTAAAAAGCTAGCTTGTTAAGCAGCACCCCTAGTTAGACGCGGTAGATGAGTATTTACTAACATATTTATTAACGTTTCATGCGCCAAGTACACAACAAGAATTGAACTCTCAAGTCTATAATCTAGTCAGTTCCACCATGACACCATGAGTAGAAGCTTCCACTTATATACAAGGCTGCAAATCTGAATTTATTTAAATGATTATGCGGGAAAATCAGATATTTAGGAACTGCTTTCTTATCACTGTTTAGTTTTCCTTAGCATGGCACAAAGCGCAATGTGCATGGCGCACAGTGAGAATCGAACTCATTTAAATAGTAATAGATTGCTCGAAATCATTCGTTAACATGGTGCACATCTATAAACGTACATTTGTATGTTCATCTGTTCTAATATATCTTTGTGGCAAATGTTCATCTGTCCAAATATATTTTGGTGGCGAATGTACAGACGCAAAAGAAGCCCGGATCGCGTGCAGACATGTCTGTAAAAAAACAGGTTCATCTGCGGGTTCCGTGTTAGCAACCAGCTTGGCATTTCTCACTGCAACTTGTTCCCGGGTTTCTGGCAACTGTATAATAAAAGCGATAGGAAAACCAGCAACCAGAAGCGATGAGCTCTTGATGAGACTCGATGTCACTGAAGTCGTTTTCTTAGGCATTTGGTTCCCCAAGTTGCGTACCGCTCACCGCGCTGTCGTTTCTGAAAGAGTGTTGTTTTGGCCTCCTCCCCCGTCTCTTTTCCCTCCTCTGCTTGTTACCCCGTAGTTCTTGGGAGAGAAATCGGTTAGGTGTTTCACCCAATCTCAACACACCCTTGGGATATTTTACAACAGTCTTCCAATTCGAATAAAGTCATACGCTTCTATAGATAAGTGTATAAGTTTGTAATTTTGCTTACAGTTGATCATCAGAAACGTTAAATCTTCCTGTCTTTTTATCGGAACCAATTGATAAGATCTTCGAACCTTGGTGCATTCATTGTTGCTTTTCGTCGCTTCATGCAGAAATGTAATTGGCTGAAACCAACAGAGAAGCATGAGAATAGAGATTGACGTATAAACAATTACGATAATGGCGCTCATTTTGATGCGGAAAAAAAGCTTTAGTTTTTGATATGTCAGTTATTAACAAAACGGTTGACGGAGAAAAAGTCAAAAAATAAAATAACCTGGTGGTAGCATCCTACAAAAATGAAATGAACAAAAGATGAGATACAAGACGATGCGACGCATATGTGATTATAAAGAAAAAATAAACGAAAACAGTCGTAATGAGAGGCAGAAGTATGGATTCAACGGGAGGATATTCAGCTCGCTAGCTCAGGTATATTGATCAAAGATGCATACAAGATGGCAATATACTTTTAATACTTACCTTACACTTGTAATACTTTCCTGCCACATGCTGGGTAGTAGAATCATCTCTCACTTGCGTCTATGTCTTTGGGCAGAGTGTAACCGAGTTGCGTTTTTATCTACGGACAGAGACGCCGCTGGAAAAAAAATAAAAGACTGAGAGCTGTCCGATGCCGGGTAACAGTTGTCCGCGGCTGTACTCCCGCCATTGCACTAGGGAGGAGGGATCGGCTGTCCAACGGTTTCAGGGGCTGGGCAATTTTGGGCGCTCGGGTGTACGCGCTAGGGTGCCACACATTAAACCCGAATGTGCGTCACATTACGTCTCAGAGGGGAGTAGGGTAAATATTTAGATAATGGCTGTCGAAAGGTTAAACTAGTATGAACACAATTGACAAGTTTTATCCAGGTTTTTAATTTTGGTAAGAAAGTCGGTGTCTCTTACAATCCTTATTGTAAATGTTTTAAATTAAATTGTTTTTTACAAACTGGCCTGTTTCGTAAATTCTTTTCCGCTTGCTGGTAGTTTTTTTTTCTGTAACAAAACGCTTTCCGCATGTCTTCTAGCACATCCTGCATTTCTTCTCAGAGTATTACCCATTGAAATCTGTAAAAAAAAAATCTACTTATGCATGTATTGCAGTTTTAAACATCTTTTTCACAAATTTACCGACTCTTACAATAGTAAAAAGATTGTCTTGTGCAAATCTTGCTATCATCATCATCATCATCATCATCATCATCATCATCATCCACCTGTGGATCCGAATGCAGAAGCCACATTAACTCTTTTCCACAACGGTCTTTCAAAGGTAGACCTTGCCATCAGGAGGAAGCTGATTTTGTGTTAATAATACAGACTGATATGTATCAGCAGCTAAAGTGTGGTGACGCTGTGAGCTTATACTTATCAGAGGGTCTACAACATTTTTATAAATATACATGTAACTCAATGGCTTGGATGTTCCTATCATTTTTATAAATAACTCTCTATTTAACAGCCAATTTCAGATTCATTGTTAAATTTGTTTATATTTCTGAGATGAGCTTTTGTAAAGATTTAAACTATTTACATCGTTCAGGCTGTTTACCTCATCTTCACTGCCATATTCACGAGGTTTTGGCCGTTATACTCTCCGGCTGTCTTCAGGATCTGTCTATATTTTTCTGAGATTAGGTAGTGTAACTATTTACACTATTTACATTGTTCGGAATGTTGTCCTCATCTTTATTGTCATATCCAGATCTTTTAAACGTCGGAACTTTGATTCGAACCCTTTATTTAGTCCAATTTAGGGTGGTCCAATTCCATGTGCCATGACTTCTTTGGATATTCCCGTTTCAGTTAATTCCCATTAGTAATTCAACTCTCCAAGTTTCAGGAGAACAGCTCTTTGAGTCAAGTCACTTTTTGGATTACTCAACAAACGCTTTTATCCAGTCTGCCATGTATAGTTTGGCCATCAGATAGAACAAATCTTGGGGGAGCTGAGTTACTAAACAGAATTACCTGAAACTAAGATATCTAAAGAAGTTATAGCACGTGGAATTAAAAAAATCTCCGCCCATAGACTAAAAAAAAAGGGTTCGGCTCGTAATTCCAACGTATATCACCTGAAGAAAGCCGTCCTGGGTATGACGATAAACTACATCCGCGTCCTGGGTATGACGATAAACTACATCCGCGTCCTTGATAAGACGATAAACTACGTCCAACAGCAAGGCCTCTGAACCGCGTTGGTAGCACCTGTTAACCCCAGTACTAAGGTAAAACACTATGAAAATGTAAAAAAAAAAATAGGTTTTAATACCATAAAACTTTTGTAAAAAATTATTTCCAGCAATAATTTTTTGAAGAAAAAAAACGAAAAAAATATATTACCAGCAATAAATTTTTGAAGAAAAAAAAATATTACCAGTAACACATTTTAGAAGGAAAAATATTACCAGAAATAGATTTTTTACAAAACAAAATATTACCAGCAATAAAAAATTGTGAGCATTAAATAACCCATTGAGGTTGATATGCCGGAAAATAAACCAAACCAAACCTGAAGAAGGTTACAGTGTACAACGATCGAAACTTCATGAATAAGGCAATAAAGATTATAGCAAGTTCGAATTATGAAAATAGTGTAGATAATTGTCAAATCTCTCATAAAGCTAGCATCTACAATTCTTAATTTTTCTTCATATTTATTGAGTTTGTGCTTTAAATCAGACGACATAACTTAATAATATTTTACCTTTTGAAAAATTTAAGAAGATTCATTTTCTTTTCCAAATGTTCTCTTTTCTTTTCTCTCTTTTTGTCGTAAAATTGTCGATAATATTTTAAGTTAGATAAAAATGTTCTAACTTGGCCCGAAGTCTGAGAAAAGATAAGTGCAATTATCGATTGTTGATCGTTTAAATTCAGTCTGTGTGTGATAATGCGATCATGGTAACCTAATGTTTCTCAGGTGGTAACATCAGTCAATGAATTTTCGATTAATGATGGATTAATAATGTCCCCAAATCATGTTAGTGAAAAGTTCCGCCATAATTAACACTGTGTCTGTCTGCATCAACAATCTCATACTTAGGTTCACCCGTACAAAAACAGGCAAGCCTGTCTTGGTGAATCAGTTACGACTCACTAATGAGTTCGATCCTCACTTGGTGCTCCTTATTCTCGTTCTTGTGCCACATGTAAATTGCGCTTAGTAAATCGCTACAAATATAGGCACACGCATAGAAACACACACATGCATATATTAACATATATAGATAGATAGATAGATAGATAGTGAACCGAATGTGTTAGATAGTGAACAGACTGTGATAGCTAGTTAACAGACATACATAGATAGATAGATAGATAGATAGATAGATAGATAGATAGATAGATAGATATTTCTATTTATCGGAAACGATCTTGGGTAAATGGATAACAATATGCAAGATTCTATGTAACGCGTTTCGTTTTTTAAACGGATTTCATCAGGCTAAAATAATGTTCTTATTGATTAATATATATATATATATATATATATATATATATATATATATATATATATATATATATATATGGAGTGATAGCGAGAGCGAGTAAGAAGGTGGAATATATTAACGAAAGTTTCTTTCTGCATCGAAAGGAAATGCTGTAGATGTAGGGACGCTAACTTTTACGTTTAAATTTTAAATTTTTCTGGCGTTCCACATCTCCAGATATACATCTTCGCCGATCTCATTGAGTTTTTGATTTTTGTTTTTATTTTTGTTGTTTTTAAATCTCCCACATTGGGACAACAGCGGATTACCAGCAATCCAAAACAATACACTCAATGTATATATTCTAAAGAATGCAGATTTGGTTAAAAGAGAATCAAATTTATACAAGCAATAATACATAAGAAGTGCAATGATTTCTGAATCGTCCACGGCAAATTTGAACCTAGTTTTTTTATAAAATGTCACTTTTCTTATCAAATATTCTGTTGCCGCAGTGTGAATTATTTAAGAATAATAATGATAAAAGCAAAGCCTTGGGAAACTAAATCAGATTGGCTAAACTGTACATTTTTGACACGTTGGACACCAGAAATCTACATATAAAATTTAGGATCCCTATATCTATAGTGTTTCTCTCTAAAGTTTTTGAGTATATTTTCCCTTTTCTCCTTTCACCCTACATATATATATAATCCCATCAATTATAATATTATTTTAGTCTATAACTTTTTTTATAGAGTCAAACGAGTTACATATATTTTTCCATAGATATGTCCGTTTTTTTTATATTTTTTGTTTTTGTTTTCCTTTGTTTTTGTTTCGTTTTTTTTTTTTGGGGGGGTTCTAGTTTTCAAACTGGTCAGCAGAGATTAATGTGTAACAATATGTTCTGGGATACTTCCTTTTTCAGTAAGATATGCAATTGTTACTAGTGTTAACACCAGAAAACACTGCGAACGCAGCTCCTCATTGTTGGAGAAATTTTAGAAGCATTAATTAATCCTTTTAAAGCTATGTGTATTTTCTTTATATTCAAGACGACAATCCTTTGCATTCCTCATTATATATATTCTATTATTTTTTTTTATTCTGGAATATAGAGCCACAACAATCCTCTTTTGTATTCTGGATTACAGAATCAACCCAAACCTCTTTTGCATATTTGATTATAGATTCAGCACATTCACTTTTGTATTTGGTATTAAAGATGCTGACTTTACTCTCATTCTTTCATCATACTACCTGCCGACACATTCTCTAAACAGTTGCACCTCATGAATTCTCTTTCACATCTTCACCATTATTTTTCTGGTTTTATGGCCTCTTCTTGTCTTGTATTATTCAAGAATTGTTTGGAGTGCATTACAATAGGAACTTGAAAGATTGACGCAACTCACTATTTCTTTTCCATCTAGAACTAAAAACTAACAAGTACATTACAAACTTTAAAAAAATTAAACTTATTTTTAATAAATTAATACGGTCGATCTCGATAGTGTTGTATCAACAATAAATTTCCTGTTACGTTGGACGGCTTTTCTTTACTGATAATCAATTTTTAATGAATCGATTTTTTTTTCGTCGTTAAAGATATGTACTTACATTTGGTAATATTCTCAACAAAAGATAAACGCTGATAATTTCAGTTTCATTGATTGAATTTATAAATTAACAGAGCTTATCGATTATTAAAATCGCCATATTTATCTTTACGGTGCCTGTTTCTTTCCTGTTCTTTATCCGAGAGGGGAATATTTCAAAACACCGGTGACATTTGAGGGGGAAACACTGACGCAAAATTTCCATCTGAAATAATTTTAGATTCTAAAATACAAAAATTTGAACAAAGAATCTGAACATTATCACGAAATTTATTTGTATGGAAATCAGCTGAAACTCCATTCTTTACATTACCTTAGTTGTTTTGGTCAATATATTTCAACCGATGCTTTCTTTCAGGCTTCCTGGATATTTTCTACGTTTCTAAAATAAGTTATTGCTGTTATGCCAAAAATTACAGGGTGTTCCTGAAGTCTGGACACATAGGAAATCTCATTAACTATATGTTTTTACCTCCAAAAATAAAACACGTTATTGTCGAAAGAACACGGAATTGGCTTCTTTTTCTTGGGTATGCTAAAGGCGACTGTGTGCTGAAGGAAGATCACAGATGCAACACACTTGATTGAACGCATAAAGAGTGGATGGGTTAAAATTGACGGCAATGTGGAGTTATTGCATCGAGTTCACGTAAATCGTGCAAAGCGCATATATATATATATATGTGTGTGTGTGTGTGTGTGTGCGTGTGCGCGCGCGCGCGTGTGTGTGTGTGTGTAAACTTTTCTCAAAATTAACATGTAGAAGACAACATGTATTAAAGAAAATGACAGTAGAATAACTGTATTTTTAGCCGACGCGTTTCGTCAAAGGTGGACTTTTTCAAGGCAAAAACAAAATGAATTTATTGGGAGTATCTATAAACAACAAACAAAATGTCGTTAGCAACTAGAAGAATTTAGAAACGATATTGTATATTCATACGGTCAACAGAAAAATTACGTCAATTACTTTTTGTTTAAAGAGAATATTTTTGAAGACAATATTTTCACGTGTAGAAATATTGTTTGTATTTTTGTGTTGGCCAATTCAACCTTTTGATTTCTTGATATATTTGTTGTGTACATTGGCTTGACAGAATAGTGATCCTAATAGGAAGCGGGATATTAGTAAAAACCTGGGTGTCGATTAATATTAGGATAATATTCAATGGCGGCACTCTCGAGGGTTTTCCTTCTTAGTGAATTATCTTCTATTTTTGTGAGTGTAGCATTTATAAAATAAAAATTGTGGTGGAATTTATTTTTATGTATGACTAATGCTTTTGTTAAATTGTTATTTATTAGGTCACTTTTGTCCTCATAGATGCGTTTTTTTTTATTTCTGCATGTTTCTTCAATGTATTGTGACGAACAGTTTTGGAAACTTATCTGTGAAAATATGAGGAAAAAAAAGATTATTGTGAAGAGAGAAAAATAAAAGAAGATGAATAAAGAAAACAAAGATAACGATTGGTTTTGCATTTACGGGATCACAAGAACGGAAGAAGCCTGTAGAAAGTTCCACAAGCGAGAAATTCGAGAGCAGAAATTATCAGCATTAAACTCACGGTTAAATATCTCCATTTCAACTGGAAAAATAATGAAATCTTGCCAGCAATCTAGTAGGTCGTTTAAATTCATAAAGTCTAACTACCTAAGTGGAAAGCTGACATATAGGAAGATAATGAGTAACTAACGACACCGAGGTTCGTGCGTGACACTCTGGACTTATATATAATTTCCGCCAGGTGTATAAATAGCGGTGTCAGACTACAGACTGATTTTTGCCTGTTTATTCAGTGATTATTAAGTGGAAATATCCAGTCGAATTAGTGTGAAATATTGTGCGTCGTTGATATGGGTTTTGATTTAGAATTTACAGGACGTTAAGCCGAGCCGCAATACTAACAAGGTATTTACAGAAATAGATAATTATCTTTGGTTGACTTTTAATTCTTTGTTCTTGTTAAGTATTTATTTGCGGTTGTAATTAAATACTGTTTTATCTTAACATTGAAGTCGTGATTTATACTTAATTATTAACGGTCGTCGTACGTCAGTAAAAAACCTCATCAGAACAATTACCCTTTTTTTATACAATAGGCACAGAGGAGCTACGTTACAGCAGTGGGAAAGTAACTGAAGCTGAGATGCCAGTCCATGGCCAGTAACATTGCATCAGATCTTGCAGAGTATTCAGTATAATCATTCGACTCAGCGGAAAACTTTGACTCTAGAAGGATCAAGGAGAACCTCTCCTGGAGATTAGTATCAGCCATGTTGATGGGAGATAAAAATGGTGGTAGTTGGTTTGGTTTAGTTTGGTTTGGTCTATTTTGTTTTGCAGCATATCAACCTCAATGGGTTATTTAATACTGACAACATATCTTATTGCTGGCAATATTTTGTTTTGTCAAAAATCTGTTTCTGGTAATATTTTTCCTTCAAAATTGTATTGCTGGCAATAATTTTTTTCAAAAACGTATTGCTGATAATAGTTGACTATTTGCCCATAGCTGGGAGCCTAACAGGTGCTACTACCCTGGGCCAGGGTGGATCACACACTCCTCAAAACCTCCTTATCAGAGGCCTTGCTGCTGGATGTAGTTTATCGTCTTACCCAGGAAGCGGATGTAGTTTAACGTCTTACCCAGGACGCGGATGCAGTTTAATGTTTTACCCAGGACGCGGATGCAGTTTAACGTCTTACCAAGGACGCGGATGCAGTTTAACGTCTTACCCAGGACGCGGATGCAGTTTAACGTATGACCCAGGACTAGGATTGCAATTTAACGTCTTACCCAGGACGCGGATGCAGTTTAATGTTTTACCCAGGACGCGGATGCAGTTTAACGTCTTATCCAGGACGCGGATGCAGTTTAACGTATGACCCAGGACGCGGATGTTGTTTAACGTCTTACCCAGGAAGCGGATGCAGTTTAACATCTTACCCAAGACGCGGATGTAGTTTAACGTCTTACCCAGGAAGCGGATGCAGTTTAACGTTTTACCCAGGACGCGGATGCAGTTTAACGTATGACCCAGGACGCGGATGCAGTTTAACGTTTTACCCAGGACGCGGATGCAGTTTAACGTATGACCCAGGACGCGGATGCAGTTTAACGTCTTACCCAGGAAGCGGATGCAGTTTAACGTCTTACCCAAGACGCGGATGTAGTTTAACGTCTTACCCAGGACGCGGGTGTAGTTTAACGTCTTACCCAGGACGCGGATGTAGTTTAACGTCTTACCCAGGACGCGGATGCAGTTTAACGTCTTACCCAGGACCAGGTTGTAGTTAGAAACTGAAGTAGGGCTACTATTTTATGTTTTTCTGGGTTTTGACGCTGAAAAGTGTATTTTCTCGTCCTTTATCCTTTTCTCTTATTCATCTCTCTTCTTTTTTTTCTTAGTTTCTCGTAGCGATCGTTCATTTTGTTTTGTTAAAAAGTCTATATATTTTATGTCTATTAAGTCACACCCCGCTTATGATGAGCCACAGGAGGCGAAATCTTAGACTTGATAAATATATACATTTAAGAACTGCATACATCTATAACAGCCAGTTTTTCGAAGATCCTTCTCGATTATAAAACTTAATATAAATAAAAAGTTTATACTTTTTAAAAAAACATATATATGTGTGTGTGTGTGTGTATGTGTGCGTGTGTGTGTTTTTATATAATTTATATACGTATTATGAAATCTTTACTAATGACCGTCTGTCTTCTTTTACAGGACGGCAATATTGCTCCGACTGTCCGCTCTTTTGTTGCTATGAATACAAATTTTACCATTTTAAGTAATCTGCCCTTGAAAGAGGGTCCGATTGAAGAGACACTGAATAATACAAAAATTTATCACACGGCCGTCGTTAAGGACATTGTGTCTTTGCTAAAACAGATCACGTTTAGCATCAACCGGCGACCGAATACAGAAGACATGAGACTGAAAATTACGAAGAAATTACGACGGGTAAATATGCATATCTCTCTCTCTCTCTCTCTCTCTCTCTCTCTCTCTCTCTCTCTCAACGTCTTTCTTTTCTTTTCTTGTCGTAATGTCTTCGAAGATTGCAATGGTTTACTTTTAATCATCGTATATATATGAATAAAAGATAAAATTCAAATGAATGCAAATTAATTGGAGATATTCCATTTATTTTCCATCAATTTTCTTTTCTTCTTTTGAGGCAGTCCTTTTGTGATATTGGGTAACACGTTGTATATTAAAATTCATATCCGATTTTTAGTGTTTTTGATTAAGGTTAAGATTAAAATTTCGCTTTTCCATTCCATTTTAATTTTGGACGCAAGATCACAAATATGAGGCGTATATTGTAGGTGGTTCTCACTCCTCGGTGGTAATTGTGAACCATACTAACTCGCTAACCCGACTGCGAGGCGCTCCATGTTGTTTTCGATGTGCTTCCTGTATAGTGCTTTCCATTTTATCTATCTGTACATTTCCCTTGCATTATTCAAGAATATCCAATTTCCTATAATTCAGTGCTGAGAATACCCTTATTTCAAAATGAAACATTTGATAACAAACCTGCCAAAGGAAAATACTTTCAAGAGGATTTTCTATTTCTTAACGGGAGCACCTGAGAGGTAGGTTTAGGCATCATCTAGAATCAGGCTACATCTAGCATCTGGCTTCATCTAGAATCAGGCGTCATATAGAATCAGGCTCCATCTAGGATCAGGTTTCATGTAGGGTCAGGCTTCTTCAAGAATCAGGCTTCATCTAGAATGAGACTTCATCGAGAATCGGGCTTCATCTAGGGTCAGGCTCAATCTCGAATTAGGCTTCATCTAGAAATCAAGCTTCATCTATGGTCATGTTTCATCTAGAATCAGGCTTCTTCTAGGATCCCGCTTCATCTAGAATCAGGCTTCATGTAGGGTTATGTTTACCTTCATCTAGAATCGGGATTCATCTAGAAGCAGGTTTCATCAAGAATCTGGCTTCATCTAGAATTAGACATCGTCTAGGGTCAGGTTTCATCTCAGGTCAGTCTTCATCTAGAATCAGGCTTCTTTTAGTAACAGGTTTCATTTAGGTTCAGGCTTATCTAGAATCAGGTTTCCTATACAATCAGGGTTCATGTATAATCAGGCTTAATTTATGGTCATGTCTCATCTAGTATCAGGCTTCATCTAGAATCAGGCTTCATCTAGGATCAGGCCTCGTCTTGAATCTAGTTTCTACTACAGTCAAGCTCTATCTAGGTTCAGGCTTCATCTAGAATCAGGCCTCGTCTTGAATCTAGCTTCGACTACGGTCAAGCTCTATCTAGGGTCAGGCTTTATCTAGAATCAGGCTTAATCTAGAATCAGTCTTCATCTAGAATCAAGCTTCATCTAGAATCAGGCTTCATCTAGAATCAGTCTTCATCTAGGACCAGGTTTCATCTAGAATCCTGCTTCATATATGGTCAGGTTTCATCTAGAATTAGGATTCATTTAGAATCAGGCTTCATGTAGGATTGAGTTTCATCTAGGGCTAGGCCTTTTCTAGAAATAGGTTTTCTATACAATCAGGCTTCATGTATAATCAAGCTTCATTTATGGTCAGGTTTCGTCTAGGATCAGGCTTCCACTAGGTTCAGGCTTCATCTAGAATCAGGCTTCATCTAGGATTAAACCTCATACTGAATCTAATTTCGTCTACGGTCTAGTTTAATCTAAGTTCAGACTTCATCTAGAATCAGTCTTTATCTATGTTCAATCTTCATCAAGATTCGGGCTTCATCTAGATCATGCTTCATCTATAATCTGGCTTCCTCTAGGATCTGGCTTCATCTCCGATACTTGAAGGAGCTTAGTAATTTTTCAATTTTACCTCATCTACATATGAAATCCCCAATATAAAAAGGTTTTATATCCTGCCTCTTGGAAAAAATAAGTGTATATCTATTTAAACTCTTTCAATTGAATCTAATCATTTTGCCTTTTTTCCTCAGATAAAAATGGATGGTAACACTGGCCATGTTCAGTTAAGCCAAAAAGGAAAACGAAAAAACGTCAATTTATATTTTACTGCCATTTTTGGAGAAATGACTCAAGAAGTAAGTAAATTTATCTTCAACTGATCGTGTGTGTCATGCAATTGCTGGGAGTATGTGCGTCATTTAACTAATTCAAAATAAACCTTTCTAAAACTGATGCAGTGATCTGTAATTGAAAATGCAACAGTGATAGCACATATACTGAATCCATATTAAAATTTCAGAATTAGTTAATGCCAAAGATTTCAACTACTTCGGTGTATGGATCAGTCATCACACATTTAGTCTAGAAGATAGTTGAAGTGAATATAGAATAGGCTTCCCTAGGGGAAGTTTCGCCCATCAACGTAAACTGCAACAAAACCAAAATAGTAACCTGGAAACTCGTCTTATGTTCGTAAATAAGTTCGCCAGAGGAAGACTTTCAATGTCTTGTATGGCTCCAAACACGTTTAGAAATATCTAAATGGCCAGCGATATATAACAGCTTTCTAAGATGAATGGTTGGATATAAGCTTTGGACGAGTGAAGACTGTAGATCTTGGCAAAGACTATCCTTCTTCGAACATTGTGGACTGTCGCTACAATAACAATAATAATATATCTATCTAAACGAAACCTCCCAAATTGGCATAGATAACACTACTGCTGTGCTACTTTTAGTCAAAGACCACGGGGACAACTTGGTAGGCACTTAAAATTAATCTCTCGTAAGATGAAACCAGTATACAGTACAGTATAGCTGGCCACTCATATTCGAGGATAACTGTCTACTAGTGCGGCTAATTAATCCCTATTGCAGACACTTGCTCAGGTGCATTTGTGTTTATTCAACACCCACAGAACCAAGCTGTGGATTATACTGCAACTATGCTGAGCAGACCTTAGTTAAAGTTTCTGGGAAAGAGCGTGTTATCTAGCATGATCAACAATTTGAAAAAAGTCAGCACGCTCAAGCCCTCGGACACGTGCTAGCACAGCTATCGACCGCACCCATGGGTTCCGTTTACCCAATTTGAATAACAAGGCTTGGGGCAACAGGTGGTATGGTTTTCGGGCACTTTCCAAAGTGGCCGCACGCTGGGATCGACCACTCCAGTTCGATAACATCAGGAAGTCTCCTTCCCGACAAATCGACTATGGTGAGATTCGAACCCGGATCTCATTGTCAGATTGCGAACGTTCGAACCAGTCGGCCACGTGCCCATAAGATGATACCACACACTAGGACCTTGAGATGCAAATAAGTAGAATATGGCATCTTAAGGTAACCATATTTAGTCAGTTATGTGTCATGCGTGATACATGCTTAGGCGATCATGTATTTTTTGATACATGATTGACGAGGCAGTTTTTTTTTTTCGCAGTAGGTTGCCATTTCTTTCTGTGGTATACCAAATGCCATCCAAGGCTATAGAACCCGGTCTGTCCTGCTATTTACCCATAACTGGGGGAGAAGAAGGGCATTCATACCTATCCCAAGGGTATGAGCACCTAAGTGAATAACCTAATAATAATAATAATAATCTCTTACAGATTGCTATTTGGAATGCGAGCAGTTCGGAACATTTTCAAGTCTGTCCTCGAAAGATTTATCCAAACATGACGTATACATTTCCTTTAAAAGGACGTCGTGTTCAAGTCGTCACTATTCTGGTAAGCTTTTTTTTTCTTTTCTTGTTTTAGATTTATATATAGTTGCTTAAATGTTGCCATCGACAAGCTTTAAGCTTGAAGATATGTCACCACCTATTTGTAGGATTTATATGATAAATATTTGCCTATTTACTAAATAGCTAACTCTGTAAGTAGCGTTTGACATGTTTATTTTGTGTTTTCTTTACAATAATGTTCACCGTGTAGAAGGCCCATGGGTTCACTCAATGTAGAAGGTTACGTTAGGAGGTAGTTTATACTGATAGGAGAGGAAGGTAATGGTTAACCCTAGACTTGAATAGGTTAATATTGTAGATATCGGGGAAACATGTTTTTGGGTGACGGTTCCACAGAGCAGTCGTTCTTGGGAAGAAGCTTCTAGAGTGGAACTTATTTCTGAACAATAGAATACGAAGAGAATGTGGGTTTTTAGATACAATGTGCGAGACGTGGCGTGGCGTGTCCTTGACGTAAAGGTTTAATTGGCGGAACCATTGAATATAGGGCTGGTTGTGAATAACTAGGAAGGATTTTATGATCGAGAAGACACTTTCAGTGATTCCCTAGCTGGAGAGCTTATGTAGTAAATATTTGTACCACACCTTGTCGCATCAACATGCATTGGGCCAACGCAGAAGGATAATGGCCCATTTCTCTCCATGAATCTGGGTAAGACCTACACCCTTGTGCATATGAATTGAAACAACCGCTTTAGTTTCATTTCTTTCACCATAAAGTCATTTTTAGACCCACTGGAGTTTCAGGGTGTAATTGATTTCTATTTTCTCTTCAGATTAGGTCATTTGCAGTGGTGTACAGTAAACTGAATCTATGTTCGGAGTGCATGGTAATATTTTGTTTGACCTTGAAAAATATTGCGTTATCCATGATTGCATCAGATTTTCATGACGCCCAGACACTATTGTCTCGACTGTTGATTAGTTGGACTACGGTCATTTTCTGCGATGGACGTTACTCCATTACTCCATGGAAGCGTACGAAAATTATAACGCTGCATGAACACAAGGGTAACACTTACCAGTGAGCAAATCAAAGTACTAACAACTGGCACGGAAACTCTCTTGATTTAAATCCAATCGAGAATCGGTGGTCAATGTACAAGGAAAGACTTCGTGGAATGGACATACAAAGTACTAGCATTTTCATTGGAAAAAAGTAACTAATAATGGTAGTATTCGTTTCCTTTCAATTCTTTTGCGCAAGGGTTCACGTCCAACAGGATGAGAAGATAGATGTACGCTAACAAGAACATAGCTATGTGAATCATTTACTGATACGGTTATAAAATGACAAGCAGAAATCGCATCATTATAATATTAATATTATTGACATATCTACTCGACTTTATAGTGATGGAACTCGCAAGGAGCGTATTTAATGTTTAACTTAAAATAATGTTTCATCAGAAAATTACAACAGAGAAACTGTGACATCTTCACGGCTATTACTAGAATGCAGTATTTAAATAAACAATACCTGTACACATTTATAGTATAGCTGGCCACTCGTATTCGAGGATGCCCGTCTACTATGGCGTCTAGTCATCCTTATTGCAGACGCTCGCTCAGGCTGTGTTTATTCAACACCCACAGAGCTCACCACCGGTTTATACTGTAACTATGCTGAGCAGACCTTAGTTACAGTTTCTATCGTGATCAACAATTTTAACAAGTCCAGCACGCTGAAACCCTCGGCCACGATGACTTGTGACTTCGTGCTAGCACTGTTATCGACGGCTCCCAAGGGTTCCGTCTACCCAATTCCACTCACAATGTGGTCAACTCGTTGTATACCTTTCAGTCACTTTCCAATGGTGCCACACGCTGGGATCGATACCTTCAGTCCGATAACATCAGACAAATGGTGAGATTCTAATCCGGGTCTCATGGTCTGTCATACCTGAACGTACCTATTCTATTATTAATAGACTCTCCCACACATAATAAGTAGTAGTAGTAGTAGCGGTCGCCAGTTGGGCTCAGTGTTGTTGAGTGAGTCAGTCGATGTCGGACATTGAAGTATCAACCATCACAACTAGATTGCTGCATCATTAACTCTTATTTCATGTTCCTAACGTTTTGTACGTCGAACCTAATTTAGGACGACATTGAAATACAAGCCTCCACTGTGAAAACTACTCTACAACACAGTTATATATGAGAATCGACTGGGCACATGAAACTAGGAAGGCAGCCAGTCTCATAGAATGTCTACTCTGAATTCAAAAACTACAAAAATCACTCCATAATCCATCCAAAGAATTCATACCAATTCAAAGATAATAAATATACGTGGATAAGGCGATAAATTACATCCGGCAGCAAGGTCTTCAACATGGTCAGAATGCGAACGTCCTAACCATATATATATATATATATATATATATATATATATATATATATATATATATATGTGTGTGTGTGTGTGTGTGTGTGTGTGTGTGTGTGTGTGTGTGTGTGAACACATTTACTTATCGATATAATTACTTATCTAAAGAGTCCTGGACACAGGAAAAATGATATTGTATTTTATGAGAGCAGATCAATGGCATGAAGTTGTTCATTGCTACCTGATTAAGATGCTAATCATTATCATATACTGGATTAATGCAACCAAGAGAATGAGTTGATAAAGTATTTGCGTACACCTATAAAAAAAAGATGCATATCCATCCACAGTTTGTCTGCGATTGGCTTCCGATTGAACTCCTTAATTTATACAAGTAGTACTCGGTTAAATGATAAATGACAAGAGAAGTGACGCCATAAGAGTAATATCTTTTCGCCACTTTTAATGGAATAACAACAGACAATAAATGAAAACCAATCACTTCTTTCCAAACCCTATAAAATAATTATTATCTATCTATCTATCTATGTATCTATCTATCTATCTATCTATCTGTGTGTGTGTGTGTGTGTAATTATTTGTTTTCTCAAAGGCGGACTGATGCAGTTGCAATAAAAGCAAAACCCCCCAAATTTTCAGTCTCTCTCTCTCCCCACCTCTCTCTCTCTCTCTCTCTCGCATAAACGTGCGTGTGTCTACCCCACTCGCTCTAAATGTCTTTCCCTTTTAGTGTTTTAATCTGTCCAAAAATATACAGGGACGGCAAAAGTAGGTATACAGTATTTACCAGTATTACCATTATGATATTTATATATTTGTATAATAAATACAATGTTCTTTACACGCAATTTTTTACTGTATATCTACTTTCGCATCACCTGTATCTCTCTGTAAATATATATCTAACCACATTTTATTGTCTGTTTCTCTTTTATACTTAAATATAATGTGTTTAAAATATATGTGTGAGTGTCAAAAGATATATCTGTACATATATACATTAAAACATATACTTAGATACATCAATAAGTTTTCTGATAAAAAAAAAATTTTAAGCAAGAAAAAATTTTTTTCAAGATAATTTCGCTAATTACGAATGTACTTAATTCACAGATAAATAGTAATCGATATATCGAACTTCATACAGAAAAAAACGTATCAGAAATCAACGAATAACTACGACTCAGGCTACAGATTTATTGATCTTCTGTCATAAAATAAAATATCAGTATTCATGATTCGGTAGATAAGTATATATATATATAGAGAGAGAGTTATTTTCCAAGCATAGCTTAGATGTGGCACAAGGCTGAAAGTATGGGGCATCTAGTGAGGATCGAACTCACTTTTCAGTTGTAACTGGTCTAGCGAGACAAGCTTGCTAACCATTACACCACGCCGAGGTACCCAATTTGTGATTTTCCAAGCGTAGCTTGGATGTGACACAAGGCCGAAAGCAAGGGGCACCCAGTGAGGATCGAACTCACTACTCATTCGTAATTAGTTCTAGCGAAATAAGCTTGCTAGCCATTACACCACCTCGAGGTCTCCATAGTGATTTTCTAAGCCCGGCTTAGATGCGGCACAAGGCCGAAAGTATGGGGTACCCAATACTTTCGGCATATACTTTGTATCTGAAATCAAGAAGCGTATCTTTAATGTCTTTTCCGCGCAATCCAAAAGGAATAGTCCATTATTTATGTGGTACTGGCAGTGGATAACGTGTGTGTTAACTAAGAAAGGAAAAAAAATCAAGCAAAATGATAAAAGTGATACGCTGAGGGCTGAAAAAGAGTTCCCGGTTCGGCCAAGACGAGGTTTCAAAGGAAATGTTGATGTTTGATCAGATTTGGGGAACTTGTGGTGTCAAAAACTATTAGCAAAATCTCGTATAATATGAATAATTTATATTTAATCATATAATTAACTCTGGAACTGAAATAAATAAATTATTTAATAGTATAACGATTCTGTAATAATATGTTAAATAAGATTCTTCTAATCCACCTCTCTTCATTCATGTTAACACCGTTTGCTGTTAAAGCAGAATGTTTTGTTCGTAAATTCTACTCTTCACTCATCTGGAATATCTTTACCTGACTCTCACTTACTCCTGTCATAATTTTAATTTTTATGTGTTCGATAATATCAAATTGGCATCAGATCTCAGAAATGACCTACAACTGTTAATTATGGCAACAAATAGTTTGTTCATTTTAAAACCTCCAAAACGAAACAACTTTCTATTAATCGTCTAAAAGAATCATTTTTGCCATCCATCAATATGCCTGATGCTATCCTCCAGGATAGTGATTCATAGCACCTTCTCAAGCTAACGTTTGCCGCTTACATTAAGTAGAGATATTATTTTGAATCAATAGTTAGATCTCCTGCAAGGAAAGTTGTTTCACTGTGTCTTGCTAGATATTTGTTCTCGACAAAACATTTATGAATCTTTCGCTCATGCATTGAATATTGCTGCAACGTCTGTTAATTTTGCTATGTATTTACAGATTCTTGATAAAATACAAAGAAGAATATGCAATGCTCTTGCTCCTATCTAACCTGCCATCTCGGCTTCAGTTACTTTCATATCACCGTAATCTAGCTTCCTTGTGACTTTTCTATAAATATTTTCATGGTAATTCTTCCGAAGAACTTTACTCTGTGGTACCTAGATTTTATGAATTTAAAGGTAGAATTTGATTGGAAGAAAGATCTCATCCTTTTTTTCAGTTGAAATTTCTATCTATAAAAGGCAGTGTGTGTGTGTGTGTGTGTGTGTGTGTGTGTGTGTGTGTGTGTGTAACGAATGCACAGCCGAAATTGTCGACGGATTTGCACCAAAATTGACATGCACATGCTGCAAGTTAGCAGAGAGGCCAAGACCGATTTTGCATTTCCCAACTCCCATCGATAGTTGAAATAATCGATTTTTTCATGCTTCTACGTCAGTTTTCATGTAGTTTGCGGCCATTTTGTACTGGCCAGAGTGAGAGCCTATAGCTGGCTGCCACGAATAGGCAGGAAGATTCTATTGGCCAGCGTGAGAGCCAACAGCTGACTGACACGAATGTTAACTAGCATGCAAAAAATATTGATAGCTGCATTCGTCACAAGTGGGAAAAATTTAAATCAGCATGGCACTTTACTCCAATTGACTCATTCGCTTGCATAAACTCAACGATTCTGATTCCGCAGAACTGGGTTGAGTGTGAAAAATATTTATTGTTAACATTTTTTTTTCATTCGGTTTTTCCTGTTACGAGTGTTTTTTTTAAAGCTGATCGTTTTTTGTTCATTTTGTTTAGTTCTTTTTTCGTAAGAGATTTAATGTTTAGTATAAAGCTTAGAAAAATTCGAAGTGTGAGATAGGCAAGAAGTAAGGCATGTAGCAACATCAGCACGGCAAAGGGCACTCCTTTAAAGGCAAGGAAGGGCAAAAATATTTTAAGTCAAGTGATAGCGATTGCTGTATGAATCGTACGATTTTTGAATTAAGCACGGGCAACGGCGAGCCATGCTGCTAGTGACTAGATACAACCATAAATTCTATGTTATTTTCTCTCCCACTTTTCGTTTGTAGAACTCTCTTGCAGTTTCCAACTTTGATTGTTGATCTATATTAAAATGCTACATCAATTATTATATTTTGTCCTCTTAATCTATGTTTCTTTATTGTCCTCTTTCCTTCAGAATGTTTTTTCTCATATTATTTCACACTCAGTAACCCTTGAATCTTAGTAGACTTATTGCCTTGCTTGAGGTGAAATAATTGAAACCTATTATTATTAATTATTTTCTTTTTTAATAATCAATTTCTGTCTATAATCAATCATTTCTTTTATTGACTTCTATTTGCTACTACTATTGAACGTATTTTGATCCTCTTAACAAAAGGACAGTCTTTTTTACTTAATATCTTTTTCGTTACTAACTACTGTGTTTTATATTGTTGCAGGAAAAGCCATTCACTATGTATAAAATAGACCATCATAAACGCACAGGTAACGACCGTTTCCGAGGGTTTGCCGTCGATTTGATGGACGTCGTCTCAAAGCGACTTGGATTCACCTATGACCTTTACCTTGTTCATGATGGCAAATTTGGCTCCAAAACGGAATCCGGAGAATGGAACGGAATGCTGGGGGAAATACTTGCCGGGGTACATCGCTACTGTTATTTTGAGAAACCATGATTTAAATGACGTGAATAGTCTTAGCCAAACATTTTTTGTCTCTTGCTCAATTTCGAAGTTCAAAGGTTGGAACTTTCGATTCGAGGTGAAAAATAATTCTGACTGAGGATTAAGGAAGAAATCCTCTATCTCTAAAAGATCTCCTTCCCCACAATGTTCTGGAAAATTCAAAAACTGTTGGTATCGAATTCTTTTCTGAACTCATGTCAAAGGCAGAGGTTAATTTTTTAGTTTTTGTCAAGGTCAAACTAAAATCTGTAGCTCACGTTCGATTTTATTACTTAGTGACTAAATTAATGGTATGCTTATTATCCACATCAGTGGCTGATTTTTGAGCTCAGATAAATCATGAAAGGCTTTCTTAACGCTTTATCTGGTTGTCAGGAATCTTGAACAAGGTCTTGTTACTAGCATGATACACTGGTAGAAAATGTAAAATATGTTTAGCTAGCCACTCGTATTAGACGACACTCGTCCAACAGGGCGGCTAGACAATCTCTACTGCATTTTGTTTCTGTTCAACACCCAGAGAACCCACCTGTGATTTATAATGCAACTATGCTGAACAGACTTTAGTTACAGTTTCTGAGTAAGAGCGTGTTATCTAGCCTGATCAACAACTTGAATAAGGCCATCACGCTCAAACCCACTTGAGACTTCGTGATACCACAGCTATCGACGCCCCCAGAGGTTTCATCCACCCAATTTCACTAACAAGGCTTGGGTCAACTCGTGGTACTGTTTACAGGCACTTTCCAAAGGTACCTCACAATGGGATCAACCTCTCCAGTCCGATAACATCTGACAAATAGTGAGATTCGACCCCGAGTACCATGGTCAGAATACGAATGTTCTAATCACCATGCCACGTCTCCATATATATATATATATATATATATATATATATATATATATATATATATATACATACAGTGCTGTTCGATAAAAGTGACTCACCTGATTTTTTTACTAAATGTTCTCTTCTCCGATGAAATGAAAGTTGAGCTAAATTCAAAGGATAAGTGATCTAAAATCTGAAGAAGCTTTGAAAGCTCTTTGAATTTAGCAGTAAGTACTGTCAAGCATCCGTTCAGTATAATCTTCTGGGGATGCTTTTCTTTTCATGGAACTGGTTTCTTAAAATCTATTGAAAAGACCCTCAAGAGCGAGCAGTACAAGAGAATTTTAGAGTCTGGGCTGCTCCCTTCTCTTGAAAGGGTGCAAATCGACCCCACCAAGCTCATTTTTATGCAGTGTAATGCTCCCTGTCACAAATCAAAATTGATGAAGGAATACTTTGATGACAATAGGTGAGTGTTGTGACATGGCCGCACCAATCTCCTGACCTCAACCCCATAGAAAACTTATGGAGCATGTTGGTCAACTGATTTCTCGGGAGCCTGTACTTTATAATGCTCTATTCAGGTGAGTCACTTTTATCGAACAGCACTGTAAATATATCGAATGTCTAACCTCACTGATGATCTGTGATACAGCGAAACAGTTTGTCTGTGTTTGACAACATATATATATATATATATATATATATATATATATATATATTTATATATATACATTTTATATATATATATATATTTATTTATTATATATATATATATATATATATATATTACGGTGGCCTTACATTTTCAAAAATAGCTGCTATATCCATAATCAGTAATGACAAATAAGGCTTATTGAGATAATATTGTACTTTCTTCTTTACTGGCTGATTATGTTATTGTTTCTTTTGTATATTTTTCCAGAATGCTACGATGACCATTGCACCATTGAGTATCAACTCTCAACGCGAGGAGGCAGTGGATTTCACTAAACCTTTTATGACCCGCTACATCAGTGTTATCATGAAGAAGACCAAATCGGAAACCTCCTACTTTGAGTTCCTCAACCCCCTCTCGCCAAAGGTCTGGATTTGCACATTTGGTGCCTTCATTATCGTCAGCGTCATTCTCTACTTCCTGGAGAAATTGGGCATGCGCAAGAAGAAAGATTACCCGTCAATATCGTTCCGAGAAAGCTTTTGGTTCATTTTTGGATCTCTGCTGCAAGGTAAAGTATTTGGATGATGCCAAGATAAACAGCCTTAGGTACAGTGACACACGCACGCACACACAGATATACAATCATAGAGACATACACACCTGCAGTTACACACTAACACACAGAGCTTATGATCTCGCAAATACGAATACACATGTGCAAGCACACGCTAACAGGTTTTCAATACAACTAATGCAAATATACTTACACACGTGGTGGGTGGGGGTCATTAACAAAAAAACAAAAAAAATCGGAAAATACATACAGTCATGAAGGGACTAAATTCGGATAATCCAATGTTTCCAGCATTATTACGCATAACAGAATTATAATTTTAAACCGGAATTGTTAAAATGGTTCTTGTAGTCCTAGCCGTTTCTTTATATTCAGAATTTATTGATCAAACAATTTAACTGTTATTATACTTTGAATTATTAGTGGAGTCCGAGTGGTTAGAGTGTCCGCTTTCTGACCATGAGACCAAGGTTCGAATTACATCATGGTCGATTTGTAAAGAAGGAGGTTTCTTCATGTTGTCGGTCTGGTGAGACACTTCTGGCGTGCGGCAGTTTGTGAAAGTGCCCAAAAAACCTAGCCACAAACACAAGCCATATGTGTAACTATTCGGAAGTTGTCGCTAGGTGTGCTAGCATGAAGTCACAAGTCATCGTGATCGAGGGTTTAGGCGTGCTAGCCTTGTTCCGACTGTTGAACAGGCCATATAATGCGCTCTCTCCCAGAAACTGTAACTAAGGTCAGCTCAGCGTAGTTGCTGTATAAACCACAGGCTGGCTCTGTGGGTGTTGTTTAAACTCAAGTGTGACTGAGCAGGTGTGTATAAAAGGGTTTGGCTAGCCGCACTAGTAGACTGTCATCCTCAGACACGTGTGGTGAGCTATTATATTATAAAATTCGGTTTCCTTCCTAACCTTTGGTTCGAGGTATTGTGGAACGTCAACATCTTGATTATGTCATGTATTGTCTCTTTGTTATATATGCTATCAATTTTATTCTGCTGTTGAAGGTCCTCAAGTGATGTGGCTTCTGTCATCTGTCCGCGAGTTTCGATTGAGGCATTGTAGTCTTGTTGCGTAATAGTCTAGTGCAGTGTATTTTTCAATTTCTTCAGAAATACCTTGAAAATTAGCATCACAAGAAAATTAAAAATTAAATCTAGCGTATATATATATATATATATATATATATATATATATATATTAGCGAAAATTTTACGTATATATATATATATATATATATATATATATATATATATATGTGTGTGTGTGTGTGTAAAATTTTCGCCAATTTTGAACCAGACACTTTTTTTAAATATTATTTACAGAGACTTTGTTGAATGAAATACAAGGGTTTAACCGCGATCTAACTTTTCTTAGTTTAAAGTAAATTCATATCCTGCTAAATAATATTAATTAATACATCTAGATTATACAAGTTCAGGATTCTAAGTATACAACCTTTATAGATATGTTTCTCTGAATATAATTAATAATCATGTAATTCAAATCTCTTTGGTATTTCAATTTTATTTCAAAGCTTATCAAAATTTTTTTTTAAAATGTTACTTTTTAATAATATTTGCAAATAATTTGTTGAATAAAATATATCAGCATTGTAATTTGGTTGTTGACAAAACCAGGTGGGATTGTTTCCAATTCACACTAAACAAACTACAATTTATGCCCCCCTTCCTCAGATAACACACTAATATTAAATCTGAATTCAGTATATCAAAGTAGGTTAAAATTCTGTCTTTTCCCACTCTCTAAATAAGATAGCAATATTGTATTTTTTTTCCATTTAATTTGTGATTTGTTTGTAGGTCATGAAAATTGAGAGCTGCTTTTTTAGAGCTCTCATGAAATAAAAATTATTACCTATGGGATATTAGTGTTTGATATTCTTTAATTAATAATTATTTTGCTCTGTTTTTTTTAAATAGAGCTCTCCCTGGATCTATATCCTCCTGGAAATTCCATACGGATTGCCATATTGTATCATTATATATATATATATATATATATATATATATATATATATATATATATATATATATATATATCGATGGCTGTCGACTCACAAAGCGAGTATGACTATCACTGACATGTCCAGCCGTTCAGTTAAACCTCCCCCAAAACACTGCATTCATCGATTCTGTGAACGGCAGCGGCTCATAAATCCAACCAGCAAACTGCATTTCTCGTCATATTTGTGGTCTATCAAATCATCTCCGGGTGGTGGAAGTTGACTTTGATCATCATCACTTCCAATGTGCCTTTTCATATACATTTTCAGGCCAGACCTCGACTTGCACGTCCTAGTGCAGGTCGGGCATTCGAAGCATGCCATTATGAAATCGTCATATACAACAGACTGTTGGCGTTGATGTGATTTCTGGTGACTAAGAAGACTAGCCCTGGACAGACATATCCGAGTGCATTGGGCACATGGCCAGGTTGGCACCTCATGGCAATTCAGAGATCCCGTCCGAATCCTACTCTAAAGTTCTGCATATTTTTGTGATACCTCATGGATCTTGACGCTGTCAGCAACATCTGCTCTCCAAGAAACTGTTGTAGATTAATTTTCACAGTGGAGGCTTGTATTTCACTAAGTCGGTCCTAAATTAGGTTCGACGTACAAAACGTTAGGAACTTGCAATAACAGTTAATGACGCAGCAATCTAGTTGTGGGGCTCATACTTTAATGTCCGACATCGACTGACTCACACAACTCACTGAGCCCCAACTGGCGACCGCTACTACTACTACTTATCTGTGGGAGAGTCTATTTACAATAGAAATAGGTACGCTCCGGTATAACAGAAACCCAGATACATATATACGTACGTCTACATATATATATACATATATACATACATTTACACACACACATATATATATATATATATATATATATATATATATATATATATATATATATATATATGAGGGTGTGCTGAAAAGTTCTAATTTTTAGTTATTTGGATATATTTTAAGAAGCAATTTCAGACCAAGAACATTTCAGCAGCCCCATGCATATATGGATACACATGTTTTTTATTTTATATATGTGAGTATTTTAATAATTTTAGATTCCCCTCTCTTCAGTAAATACAAATTCTTCCTCCCCCCCCCATGCATCCACCGATGAAAGCATGCATTTTTTTTAATCGTGAAGGTCACTATCCGAATTTGGATTAGGGTCGTTTAAAAAGTAACATTTTGAAATGCCATAAACAGTTATTTTGGAAACAATCACATTCTTAAAGGCTTTGATTTGGAACTTTATTATTTTCATTTTATTTATTATTACATTTGCTATTTGAAATGCTGATCTCTTTTCGAAATACTCAAAGAGTTCGATATCGATTATCGTAAAAAAATCTATAGGCAGGGAAACAAAATGCTTGGAATCAAATCGAACAAAAAGATCACAAATGAAAGGTCTTCAGTATATTAGGATAAAAGAAAAAACAATTCAACCGTTCCTTGTTATTTCACTCTAAACGGACGGAAACTAGGTCGATCAAAATATATGCGCAGTTTACAATTTATCAATAAAAGTTTGAATTCTCAACCCTACCGATCGATGGCAATCTTGGTCAGTGATAATTATTCCTAAAATCAAGTACAGCACTCTTTTTAAAACAATCGAATACTTTTTAAAAATCCCTAATACTGTCGTACATTAGGGGCACTTCGAGGCGGTGTAATGGTTAGCAATCTTGTCTCGCTAGAACAATTACGACTGACTAGTGATTTCGATCCTCACTGGGTGCCCCATACTTTCGGTCTTGTGCCACATCTAAGATACGCTTAGAAAATAAAGATTCGGTGTGCCTATTAATTAAACACTTCAAGGCGGTGTAATGGTTAACAAGCTTGTCTCGCTAGAACACTTACGACTGAGTAGTGATTTCGATCTTCACTGGGTGCTCCCTAATTTTGTTCTTGTGCCATCTAAGCTACGCTTGGAAAATCAATAAGGCACCTCGAGGTGGTGTAATGGTTAACAAGCTTGTCTCGCTAGAACACTTACGACTGAGTAGTGATTTCGATTTTCACTGGGTGCTCCCTAATTTTTGTCTTGTGCCATCTAAGCTACGCTTGGAAAATCAATAAGGCACCGCGAGGTGGTGTAATGGACAACAAGCTTGTCTCGCTAGAACACTTACGACTGAGTAGTGATTTCGATCTTCACTGGGTGCTCCCTAATTTTGTTCTTGTGCCATCTAAGCTACGCTTGGAAAATCAATAAGGCACCTCGAGGTGGTGTAATGGTTAACAAGCTTGTCTCGCTAGAACACTTACGACTGAGTAGTGATTTCGATTTTCACTGGGTGCTCGCTAATTTTGTTCTTGTGCCATCTAAGCTACGCTTGGAAAATCAATAAGGCACCGCGAGGTGGTGTAATGGTTAACAAGCTTGTCTCGCTAGAACACTTACGACTGAATAGTGATTTCGATCTTCACTGGGTGCTCCCTAATTTTGGTCTTATGCCATCTAAGCTACGCTTGGAAAATCAATAAGGCACCTCGAGGTGGTGTAATGGTTAGCAATTTTGTCTTGCTATAACAATTACGACTGTGTAGTGAATTCGATCCTCACTGGGTGCTCCATACTTTCGGCCTTGTGCCACATCTAAGCTACGCTTGGAAAATCTCTACCGTCGTACATTAGTATTTAAAAGGATAAAGTATAAATGACTAGTAAACAAAATACTATTAAAATAACACTACTAAGTTATGTACTCCAGCATATGATTTTCTATAGGAATTTTGAATTTTAATCACTTAATCACATTTTGAAATGTCAATCAGGCCGTGAACTTTTAAGCAACCCATAGTACTCATAGTGCAAATGTTACAACTATTAACAAATAAATATCAGATGTAATAATAGTACAAATGTAAACAAAGTAACTAACAATACCAATACTATTAAAAACAAAATCCAAAAGAAAAATATAGTAATCATTATTGTGAAATAATAAAGAAGTATTAATTACTAAATTTTACTTAAGGAAAAAAAAATAATTAAAAAATTTAAGTAATTAAAAAACCTTAAATAAAAGAAATATATTCGATCGTATATAGGTATAGTGCTTCCGTACTACTTCGAACACAGTTTAAGAGGGAAATTCCCATCAATAATAAATAGGATGTAAGAGTTACTGGACTTGAGAAAACAATTTTCCAGAATAAATGTTTTAAATAAAAAGATTTAATAAATTTTTTATCGAAAGTAGCTCTGGCTTCTCGATCAATAAATGCCGAATATTTCCTTATAAGGAAAATGATTAATATTACCATTATCATTATTTACATTTAATATTTCAACATTATCGAGTAAGCATTAGCCTATGAGCTTACAGTATAAGGCCCGGGAAATATTTTGAAGTCATTTCTGTGATTAAAATATTAAGTTCAAATATAACATGCAGTACAGTCAATTTTTTTTCAATTTTCTTTAAAGAAAACTATTTAAATCGCATTTAATCCTTTTTTTTTCCATTCAAGGGCACCTATTTAAATTGCATCAATCGAGTTGTTCAGAAAATTATATATCATTTTGCATTCAGCTTTCTTGTTGACAAATAATAGTAATTGTGTGATATGTCATAGTTGTCAGAATCATTCGTCAAGCCTAAAATATTTTGACTCTGACAACTATGACATATCACACAATTACTTCTTACTATTCAACAGGCATGACGATTGGTTTGGTTTGGTTTGTTTTACGGCATATCAACTTCAATGAGTTATTTAATGCCGAAAAAATTTGCATTGTTGATATTATTTTTCCAAAAATTTATTTCTGGTAATATTTTTCTTTTCCTTCAAAAATCTATTTCTGGTAATATTTTTCTTTTCCTTCAAAAATCTATTTCTGGTAAGAATCTTCCATCGCTGGCAATTTTTTTTCAAAAAATGTATTGCTAGTAATATTTTTTTATACAAAGTATTTCTGGTAATAAAACCTTTTTGTACAGTTTCATAGTGTTTTGGCCCGAGTTTGGAGGTTAACTATTTCTCTCTGGCTGGGACCATAACAGGTCCTACCACTCCAGGTTAGGGTGGACCTGGGAACATCCGCAATTAAGAGGTGGTTCAACGCTCCTCAAAACCTCCTGATCAGAGGCCTTGTTGTTGGATGTAGTTTATCGTCATACCCAGGATGTAGTTTATCGTCATACCCTGGACGCGGATGTAGTTTATCGTCATACCCAGGACGGAGGTATGAAGAAAGGGTATGTTTGGATTGTAGAAATACGATGAACATGGTGTTACACAATTTTTGCATGTTATTAATTGAAGCATTTCAAATCTTCCGCGGCACATATTGCACAGAATTTTCCCTTCCTCTTACAGGAAACACGGATGCTTCCCCAAGTACAGTCCCTGGCCGTATCCTAACTAGCGCCTGGTGGTTCTTTGCACTCATTCTCATTTCATCTTATACTGCCAATCTCGCAGCTTTCCTCACTGTGAAGAAAATCAACACCCCGATTAAGACAATTTCGGATCTACCAAAACAAACAAAAATCAAATATGGAACAGTGAAAAGCAGCGGAGTTATGGCTTTTTTCAAAAACACCAAAATTGAAACATTCGCCAAAATGTGGGTAAGAATTATTTTCTTTGAAATTTTCACAAACCACAGATTTTGAATGAAATGTAAAATATTAGATCATGTCATTTTGAAAAAAACATGTCTTATATATATATATATATATATATATATATATATATATATATATATATATATGTATGTATGTGTGTGTGTCATTCGCAGACAGTACTGTTTCGTTGTATCACAGCTCCTCAGTGCGATTAGACATCCGAATACCTCAAGCCCGGATCGAATCCCAAATGATCAGTCAGTTTCTACCAATGTGCTATCTTCATTCGACACAAAGAAACAACTAAATCTATATATATATATATATATATATATATATATATATATATATATATATATATATATATAATAAAATATAGTTCTATGGTATGCTACATTTATGGGTTAAAGTGCTCAGTATCAGGGACAGAACGTATGTATATATAAAAGTGGACAGCCAAAGGGGACATACTGTTTCATGCTAAACGCGATCGTCATTCCATGGACTTACGATCGCTTTTAGTACGAAAATATATATATATATACACACACACACACACATATATATATATATATATATACACACACACACTCATATATATATATATATATATATACATACACACACACTTATATCTATCTATCTATCTATATATATATATATATATATATATATATATATATATATATATATAATTGTATGTGCATTTTTGCTGTTCCCCTTTACGAGTAGAAAGTCTGACTGAGATCAGTTTAAGGTGGAAACTTAGTGCCAGTCAGTCATTTTTTTTTTCTTAAATTACAAGAACTTATAGTATCACTGAAGGTTCTTTAAATGAATTATTGATGCATTTCCTTGATAAGTCTTATTCATGTATTGTGCGTGCTTTTTCACACACGAATGTGTGTGTGTATATGCGTATGTATGGAGGTACCTCAATAAGTGGGTAAACTGATGGTGAAAAAAGCAATTATTTTTCGACAATTTCCTTCCTTGTAAATGTAAATAACAAGTTTTTCTCCATTAATCGCCGTGAAAATTTCAGATAAAAAAAATCGAGCTATTAGCTGTCCGACTATAAACTAATTGATAACATCATATATATATATATATATATATATATATATATATATATATATATATATATATATATAGAGAGAGAGAGAGAGAGAGAGAGAGATAGACAGACAGACAGACAGACAGATGACAGAAAAGAGATGAGTGAAGAGAGAGATATGAGAAGAGAGAGTGAGATAGCTTAAAAGAGAGAAAGCGTAATGGGAGAAGCGAGAGAGACAGAAGAGACAGGTGTAGATTAATAGCACAGCAACGATTTAATCTTACAAATTTTGGCTTTCAAGATTTTAAAACATGGTTGTAATTTTTTGACTATTCTATTAACACACACTGCTGAAAGAAAGAAAGAGAAGATAGAGAGACATAAAAACGAAAGTAAGAAACAATGAATGAAAAAAGAAAGAAAGAAAGAAAAATGATTGATGTACATAAAAATGAAAGAAACAGAGAAAAAAGAAAGACAGAAATGATAGAAGAAATGAAAGAAAGAAAGAAAGAAAGAAAGAAAGAAAGAAAGAATGAAATGATAGAAGGATATAAAATGAAAGAAAGAAACAAAGAAAAAAAGAAACAAAGAAAGAAGAAAGAAAGAAAGAAAGAAAGAAAGAAAGAAAGAAAGAAAGAAAGAAAGACAGAAATGATAAAAGGACATAAAAATAAAAGAAAGAAAGAAAGAATGAAATGATAAAAGGATATAAAATGAAAGAAAGAAACAAAGAAAAAAAGAAACAAAGAAAGAAGAAAGAAAGAAAGAAAGAAAGAAAGAAAGAAAGAAAGACAGAAATGATAAAAGGACATAAAAATAAAAGAAAGAAAGAAAGAAAGAATGAAATGATAAAAGGATATAAAATGAAAGAAAGAAACAAAGAAAAAAAGAAACAAAGAAAAAAGAAAGAAAGAAAGACAGAAATGATAAAAGGACATAAAAATAAAAGAAAGAAAGAAAGAAAGAAAGAATGAAATGATAGAAGGATATAAAATGAAAGAAAGAAACAAAGAAAAAAAGAAACAAAGAAAGAAGAAAGAAAGAAAGAAAGAAAGACAGAAATGATAAAAGGACATAGAAATAAAAGAAAGAAAGAAAGAAAGAAATGATAGAAGGATATAAAAAGAAAGACAGAAATGATAGAAAGAAATAAGAAGAAGAAAAAGAGAGAAAGAAAGTAGTCATAGAAGGAAATAACAATGAAAGAAACAAAGAAAGAATGACAGAAATGATAGAAGGGCATAAAATGTAAAAAAGAAAGAAAGAAGACATAAAAACGAAAGAAACAATGAGAAAGTAAGAATCTCATCAGAATATGTCCTGTTTATTCGTAATGATATGGTTTATGTATCATTTTCCTCGCTACCAAAAAATGCCAGCAATGAATTCCGTTGTATTGCCCTGACACCACTTCCCCAACAATAAGAACCAATTAGAGAAAAGGTAATTATAGATAATTATCCCACACATTACACAATTTACACAGTGCACATAAAAATGCAGGCAAGGACAATTTATCATTGTAACAAGACGAGGGGTTGTTGAAAAATTCTCTTCTCGATCAAGGGATCCCCAAAATAATTGTGATATTTCATCATTAGCCCATATTTCACAAAGCACATAGATAACTATAACTCCATATATACATAATGGAAGTCAACTTCTGACCGAGTAAGACCACCCCTATGAATAATAACGAACACTTTAGGGATGATTTCCCTGTCGCCGAATACATGCATAATGGTCAATTGTAGACTTTAGCGAGAAATAAAGAGATTTCTAAGGATATTTTCATGTCAAAAAAGTATATGTATATGCGATCTTCCTCATTTTGTCTTTTAGAAAAATTTGTCTCGCCCACTGACATCGAAGTGGATAATAATAGATTTGTATTTCACTAAAGAAAAAGAATTTCACATGACTTTACGGAATAGATAAATTTTCATTTCTTACTATTTTTCTCTTTTTAATTAACATTAAAGTATGAATGTCAATTGTATGCCGCCATTACACATGCAAGAATTGATCTCATGTAAAAATTTAAGCATAAATCTAGTAAATTCCTTCAAATGATTTTTTTAAAAAAATAATCCAGGATTAGATAAGTGGACAGAGAGGATCTTCTGAAAATACATATATATTTTAAGCTTAGTAGATCGATGCACTATATGGAATAATAAATCAATAATGTACGTAAAATCAGTGACTGTATAATCCTGGACACAAATTGAACATCTCCATTGAAACGAGAAAAAAATGAGCGTATTCCTATTACAAATGAAATACACTAACAGAAAATAAAATTATCTGACACTAAACTACTATTATGACCTCAATACAGTATGATTCTAATAGAGATAGCATGTATTATGATAAATCTTTCAGACTTTGGTCATTTTGTGACTTTATAACACGCATACCTGTGTATAGTATTTGTCTTGAGTTCGTTAAAAGAATTAATTGCAAAGAGAAACCATACCACGGAGATGTACAAATGCTTCTTTTGTTCCGTTAGATCCGTTCGAAATGTGATTCAGAGAATTGATTCTCATTCTGGAAACGTTGACGTTGCTTCGATATTTGCAACAGAAATGGAAAATGCAGACCAGGTTCCGAATGGTCACGTGGTGCTGATGCTCACCAAGATTGATGCACTGTAAGAGAGTCTATGACAGTCTTCACGACGTACGCAACACATTTCAGAAATATATAGCCTAAGACATTAGGATAAATAATATATATAGAAATCACACACACACACACACACACACACACACACACACACACATATATATATATATATATATTATTATTATTAGTAGTAGTAGTAGTAGTAGTAGTCTTATGAGTATAAGAATCTAAAGGGGGAAAAAAGGTATATAAAAAGAAAGAACCAAGAACATGTACGTTAGCCGAAAATAATCGTCTAGCATGCCCAAAGAAAAAAACTCCGATACGTGTAAACAAAATAACTAAATAAATTGCTCAATACAATAAGTAGAGCAGACCTAGTTAAACCTAGAGAACCAGACAAACCTACCAAGGTTTCACCTTAGCGGATCGTCAGGGAAGGCCGGCAGGGAAAGCCGGCCTTCCTGACGATCGTGGTAGGTTTGTCTGGTTCTTAGGGTTTAGCTTATATATATATATATATATATATATATATATATATATATATATATATATATATATATATATATATATAGTTTTGTAGTTAAGCAGCAATCCCTCGTTTATATAATTTTCAATAAAAACGACTGATAATTTTCTTCTTTTGTGGACATAAATTAAATAGAAATTGATAGAATATCCTATCTGTCCGAGCGCTTTCAGCTATTCTTTTAGTAATTATCAAGGAGGATTTTATTATTACTTTTAACTGTACGTATGGACTGCTATATGTGTATGTATCTAGACTAGGAGGCAACAGAAATGTGGCTCTACAGAATGATGCCGAGAATACCATGAACATCATGTTTAAGCAACGAAGAAGTCAAAGAAACTACAAGCAAAAAGGGTGCTTATTTTCTGATTCAGACAGCGGAAATGTCTTCGGCAGATAATGAGGAAATAATGCTGGGACAATTTGATACTCAGGGGGCATATCTAAATCAAAAAAAGACAGTGGGCAGCAGGACACATACAAGATGAGTTTTAAGGAATGGATGGCGGATTTCAAGGGATGGCACAAAGATAAACTTTATTAAGAAATACAAATGATAGGAAGTTGTGGAGCTACATGATCTACATTTCCGGAAGAGACACAATACACAAGGGGATCAAATGAAACTCTGTAAAGTTCAGATATGAGAACAGTTTCTGTAGTGAAACGGACGTGTTGTTTGCATGTACGATCTTCAGGAATATATTCAACCACAACACATTAATACTTTCATTCACGTTTGATATTTGTAGAAGGATTGTTCCCAGCGCTATGTAT